AAGGGGGGGGGGGGGGGGGGGGGGGGGGGGGGGGAGGGGGGACCCCCCCGTTTAATATTAGGGGGAAGGGATTAGGGCTCTGGGCTTGGGGCTTGGGTTGTAGTGTTTAGGGCTCAGGGTGTCGGTGGCAGGTGTGCAGGCCAATGCGTTGCAGGTGGCATTCTTGTTTTTGAGCGCCTGCGTATGCTGTCTAGTATGAGCGCATGCCGCATATCTCCCCGACAAAAGGAGCACATGACTGGCGCCAAAGTCAGTGGAGACATGCCGCCTCATGTTAACTACTCATAGCCTCATTTAGGATGCTTCGAAACCTCTACTTATGTTTCCCAAAAACGAACCTCCGAGACTCAGCTTGCCCAGGGTTTCGAACCCCCGGTTGGTCCAGGAAGATGCAGACCTCAGCAGCAGCACGAGAATACCTTCGTCTCCAATGTACTTGTCTGAGCGCAGTGTCCAAGCATTCTCCAACGAGGGCTACGAGATCAAGGAGACCCCACTGTCCTAAAATGGGATTTGCGAAAATATAAGGGACCCCTAAAATAGACCCCCAAATTTTCGGATTCCCTTAAAAAAAGGACCCCCAATAAGGTCCCCTAATTTCGGCTAAACGTTTAGGGTTTAGTGTTTCACCCCTGGTTCTTAGTAGGGAATTAGGGAATGAGGGCCGTATATATACCCTTTAAGGGATTAGATAGGGGATACGCCAAATAAGCTTCCAGACATGCCTGTGGTAAGCGACCTAGGGGGGGCTCCCATGTCTAAATGCGATTAATGGGATGTCCCCCCCACAGTCCTTTAATGCATAGGGATTATCATAGGGGGCATGATAATCCCTATTGAGGGCTGTTAGTGTAAGGGGGTACATCCCAAGTAATCCCACAGGCCTCTACGTAGATCCCAGGCTCCCAGAAGACGTCGACTGGTAGATCCGAGGAACCCGAGCCCCACTTAGGGTTTAGGGCTTAGGGATTAGGGTTTAGGGTTTAGGGCTTAGGGCCTAGGGTTTAGGGTTTAGGGCTTAGGGCTCAGGGTTTAGGGGGGAGGGTGGAGGGTTCAAAGGTGCGGAAACGGGGTGCGGCGATGGGAAGCTCAAACACGCGCCCGGCCGGGGCCAGGGTAAGGCTTACTAAGAAACCCAGCCCTAAACCCTGCTTGGAAACCCTTTTGACTTAGTAAGTCTACTCCGTATCCCTAGAAAGCCTCAAACAATCACCCATAACCCACCTTAATAAGCCCACGGTACCAAGTCCAAAAAGGGCTTCCAAGTAACCGGCATTCCAGCTAGGCGGATGGCAAAGCAAAGTGCCAATTGATGGCTTTGGGGCTCCGGGGTGTCATTTGCGAGGGGCCCTTGAAGTACAGCAACGGCAGGCACAGCTCGAGTTTTGGGTTGAGGGTTTACGGAGGGGGGCCTACTGAATTAGCAAGGATCTTGGGTAGTTTTGTTTTTTTCAGTTGTTTCTGCAGTGTTTCTCTTGCAGGGGTTCTGAGGGGATGATATTGTTGATAACTGTTTTAAGTCCTGCCTCTCTACCCACAGAATCCGTAGCCCCATGGCCCTAAACCCTAAAACCCCACAACCCTAAAACCCCAAGAGCTACACCCTAAGCCCTAAAACCCTCCGAAACCCCAACATACCCCAACACCCCAACACTCTAAGCCGTAAACCCTAAAGCCAAGTGAAGGTGGCGGAACCCTAAACCCTAAACCCTAAACCCTAAACCCTAAACCCTAAACCCTAAACCCTAAACCCTAAACCCTAAACCCTAAACCCTAAACCCCCCCTAAACCTAAACCCAACCCCACCCTCTAAACCCCTCTACCCTCTAAACCCTCTAAACCCTCTAACCCTCTAAACCCTCTAAACCCTCTAAACCCTCTAAACCCTCTAAACCCTAAAAACCCTAAAAACCCTAAAAACCCTAAAAACCCTAAAAGCCCTAAAAACCCTAAAAACCCTAAAAACCCTAAAAACCCCAAAAACCCTAAACCCTATAAACCCTAAACCCTAAACCATGTCTTGGGTTCACCCGCATCCTCTTGAGGAAGTTCTCGGGCACGGCAAGTTCGGACAAGTGCACAAGGCACCCTGTGGGCGTTTAGGGCGCAGAGTTTAGGGTTTAGGGTTTAGGGCTTAGGGCTTAGAGTTTAGGGTTTAGGGTTTAGGGTTTAGGGGTACAGAGCAGAGCATCCTAAACCCTAAGACCCGGAGCCGAGCCCTTGAAGCTTCGGGTTCTCCAGCACCAACAGATGATACTCAGAGCGCTCCCTCATCACTGGACGCATATCTGCAGCCTGCGGTTTCCTTCGATCAAAAGCTTGGTAGCCCAGTGGTACCCCTTCACATTTTTATTTGTTGTTTTTTGGGTTCCGTTCTCAAGTAGCCAGCCACAAAAGGCGTGCTCTTATTACAATATGCTACCCAACCCTAAGCCCTATAACCGAAACATAGAACGGGTAGAGCCCGAATAAAGAGCCGCGCACACGTCGAGCGCGAACATTGTGCAGACCGAAAGCCTTCTATTTAGGGTTTAGGGTTTTTTGGGTTTTTGGGCTTTAGGGTCTAGGGTTTTAAAATTTTAGGGGCTTAGGGTTTTAGGGTTTTAGGGGTCCTAGGATAGAGCGGAATTGGCCGTGCAGCCTTCCTGGCACATGCCAGGCTTTGTGATGGCTCTCGGCCCTCAGCCTCCTTAAACAGGTACTTGGAGGTTCATGAGTTCATGGGTTTTTGTGGTTTAGGGTTTAGGGTTATGGGTAGTTATAAGTGGTGTTGTAAGTATGGTCATCATACTTTAGACCCCTATGTAGGGGACTTACAACCCTACCCTACTTATGATTGCCCAGGAACCTCGAAGTAGGGGCTACTTAGGGAAAAAAGGGTTTAGGGAAGAACCGGGTCCTCCAACGTTAAAAGGCTTCCCCAATTGCCGAACATAGGGGCCACCGGCATCTGTGTCTTTCTTGCAACTCGCAAATTGGTTCAAGGTTTCGGGCGTGCAGGATACTTCTCCGAGGGGCGGAGGGCGGGTGTACCGCCCTCCAAAACACCATGCCCGCCTGCGCTTTTCCTAAAGAAATCCTTGCCACACCTCGACACGCCAAATTGGGGTTGGGGGGGGGGGGGGGGGGGGAGTGACTTTTCAACATCGGCCCATCATTTGATGAGCTTTGTTTGGCCGTCTCATCCCCAAAATACAGGACCGGATTGCTGTATCCTTGTTAGAAATGGCTTTGGTGTGGCAAACCCTTAACCCTCAAGCCCTCCACCCCACAACAGCCACGGTGGCACACCTGCCTGACCAACAAACAGGGGGCACCTGCAAGTGAACCGCCAATCCCTCAAAGAAGCGTCTATCTCCCTAAACCGCGAACCCTAAACTTTAAACCCTAAACCCTAAACCCTAAACCCTAAAACCCTAAACCCTAAACCCTAAACCCTATGAGCCCTAAGCCCCGCTTCAGGTGGTCCGCAAGGGCAGCAGGGAACGCTTCGCTGTGAAGGCGGTTTAGGGTTTAGGGTTTAGGGTTTAGGGTTTAGGGTTTAGGGTTTAGGGTTTAGGGTTTAGGGTTTAGGGTTTAGGGTTTAGGGTTTAGGGTTTAGGGTTTAGGGGGTTATAAGGCCCTAAACCTTTACACCTTTAAACCCTTAAACCCTAAACCTTGGGATGTTCCTCCTTATACTCACAGTCCTTAATAAAGATTATAGTATCCCCTGTTATAATTCCTATCAGGGACTGTCAGTATTCTTAGAAGCAAGTGTGCAGCTTACGAAATGATGGTCTCTAGGGTTGAGCCCTAAACCCTAAACCCTAAACCCTAAACCCTGCGGGGCCTCGGGGCCTAGCGGCCCAGCCAGCGGGTATTTAGGGTATGTGCCTGGTGGTAAGGATACATACCGAGCCCCTAAATACCGACCCCCTGCAAACAAAATAACACGAGTATATGAATACATATATATATATATATATATACACGTACAAAGAAAAGAACAAGTAAATAAATAGATAAATAAGTATATATATATATATATGTATATATATGTACATACACATGTCTGTATTTACTGTATGCGTTTCTTTTGTTATGCACATTTCTAGTGCGTGTGTGTGTGTGTGTGTGTGTGTGTGTGTGTGTGTGTGTGTGTGTGTGTGTGTGTGTGTGTGTGTGTGTGTGTGTGTGTGTGTGTGTGTGTGTGTGTGTGTGTGTGTGTGTGTGTGTGTGTGTGTGTGTGTGTGTGTGTGTGTGTGTGTGTGTGTGTGTGTGTGTGTGTGTGTGTGTGTGTGTGTGTGTGTGTGTGTGTGTGTGTGTGTGTGTGTGTGTGTGTGTGTGTGTGTGTGTGTGTGTGTGTGTGTGTGTGTGTGTGTGTGTCAGTTATGTATACCTCACCCCCTATATACAGCCACCCTGCCGATTGCGGACAGGTAGTTCAGGATACTTCGCTGAAGGATTCTGTCGCGATAGCATTCGAAGAGGCACCCTGAACCCTGAACCCTAAACCCTAAACCCTAAACCCTAAACCCTAAACCCTAAACCCTAAACCCTAAGGCTCCCAGGAATCTTGCTCTGCGGGATGGGACCGGACGCTGCCGGGGTTATCACGGGGGCGCGCGTGCGCGCTCTGCGGGATTCTCGAGGACTCGGCGGGATTAGGGTTCAGGGTTTAGGGTTTAGGGTTTAGGGTTTAGGGTTTAGGGTTTAGGGATCTGCGGGATTCTCTGGATGACGTCCATGGTGCTCGAGTCGGCGGGGACTGCGTGATTCTGTAGTTTAGGTTTAGGTCTTAGGGCTCCAGGCATACTCTGCGCAGGGTGTGGGCACTCGAGGGATAGTCGGCATGACTCCCTTCGTAGTTTTTCCTCCACACCCCCACCATAGCAGGAATGGGTTGCATGGAGCGTTTCAAACCTCAGGAGCATGGTGAGCTTTGCGCCCTTACTAAACCCTAAACCCTAGACCCTAGACCCTAAACCCTAAACCCTAAACCCTAAAAAGTCCGTGAGGTGATGCAGAGTTCTGACAGCCTCGGCGAGCTCAAAGCTCTCAGGGGCTTGCAGCATCGGAACATCGTGCAGCTTCATGAGGCGGCATTAAGGGTTGTTCGGGTTTAGGGTTTAGGGTTTAGGGTTCAGGGTTTAGGGTGTAGGGTTTAGGGTTTAGGGTTTGGTTGTTCCCAAAGGTTCATGGTACTTACTAACCACTTATAGCTGTACTTATAACCCTACTTATAATACCCCTAAAGGGCCTTATAGGGGTTAGCCCTATTATAAGTAGGGTTAGAAGCCCAGTTAGAAGTGGTTAGTAAGTCCCATGAACCTCCAAGTAAGGGTTGTTCCCAGATCCGAACTCGCTTAAATATGGAATGCTCCTTGCACCATGAAGTGGTTCATATGATGGTTTAAGGCCATCTTCCTTAGCTAAGCTGTTCTGGAAGATGAAGGTTGTGAATTTTGAGGCCATCGGGGAGGGTTTGGGTGTAAGTTTAAGGTTGAACTCGGCGTTTTGGGGCTCCGTGCTTTCGATGTTTGGGGAGGTTAGTTTGTTTGGGAGGCTTGATTGGAATCTCTTTGGTTTCGTGGGGGTTTGCTGAAGGGCACTGCTCACGCTCTTCGGAGCACCAGGGCTGCAAGGGGTCCGTGGAAAGGAGGGGGTCTAGGGTGCAGGAAAATGGACATATTCGCCACGAATTGCCAGGTTCAACTGCTTATTCAACGTCTTTATTGGAGCAGCTGTAGGAGACCCACCGGCAATGTTTTGAAGCATGCCGCTATGGGAAAGCACTTTTTTTGGATTGTTCTGACGTAGTGGCAGCAGTAGCAGTAGCAGTAGCAGGAGCAGTAGGTAGCAGGAGGTAGCAGTAGCAATAGCAGTGGCAGTAGTAGACGCAGCAATCGTCGTCGTCGTCGCGTTAGCCCGAGCTCTTGGCGGCGATACATCAAAATTGCGAAGCCCCGAGCTCAACAAATGCTTACAGGGTATGCTCAAAGGACTCTGGTCTTAATTAGGGCTTGTGTGCTACCGGGAAAATCCTGAGTCCAGAGCCCGCAACCCCCGCAGAGCATCTGTGCTGAGCCAGGCTCGTGAGCACGAGGGGCATGCATACTTGGTGATGGACCTTTGCAAAGGCCGGGTGGGGCGGGTGCTCAGGGGTTTCGGGCTGAGGGTGTTGGAGGCCTGGCAAGTTCTTTGGGCCACGACCTAAATACCAGAGATTGATTTTCGTCTGGCGATGGCACAGCTCCTGTGACATCACGCAAAGTGGTGGGCGCACGGTTTAGGATTGGAAGCTCTTCCAAGACCTGTCTCTCATGTCAGACAAACCAACCCTAGCGGCCCTAGCGTTCAGCCGAGCTGCCCAGTACTTACGAGCTGCACATGCTGCGCGCTCAGGGTTCATGTGCAAGTTTGCATCGAGGTGGTACTTTGATGTCGTGGATTGGTGACCGCTTCGAGAAGCACATGGGGAAGGCAGGCAGAAGCGATGTGGAGTCAACCTGGATTTTTATTTCCTTGGGACATCGCGGCATCTGCACCTGCCATTGTCCTGAACTGCCTTCCATGCCTAAAACCCGAATTCAACCCAAACCCCCCCGAGATCTGCACGCAAAAGCCAACCCCACAAATTAACCTTCATGACAGGCGGTCTACATGCACCCTTCCACGAAGCAAGTCGGCCGAATCTTGTGGCAAGTTTTCGATGCCATACAGTACCTCCACAGCTGCAACATCGTCCACCGTGATGTCAAGCTTCCGAATCTTCTAATTGCCCAGGCAGGCACGAAACCCACAAAACCAATCCTAAACCCTAAGCCCTACACCCTAAACCCTAAACCCTAAACCATCTAAGCCCTGAAGCCCTAAACAAAGGGGCGGAGGATGGGCCACTTCTGCACATGTAGCACCTCGACCCCCTCAATGCAGAAACCCTTCAGCACGCCCTGCACCCTGGATCCCGAAGGTTTTCTGGGATTTTGGTTTAGGGTTTAGGTTCTAGGGTATAGGGTTCCGCCTAAACCCTAGGGTTCCCCTCAGACGCCAATCCCTCAACCCTTTCGAGCTTCGGGAACCCTGCTCAGGGTGGCTCGAACTTGCAGCTGAAGTTGGCGGACTTCAACTTGGCTACGGAGCTCCAAGGGGAGGTTTTGACGGCACGTTGTGGCACCCCCGGCTTCATGGCACCAGAGGTGGTCGAGTGTCACTACACCGAGCTCTGCGACGTCTGGAGTGCCGGGGTTGTTTTCTACCAGGTTGTGACAGGAGAGCGACTCTGGAGGAAGGCTGACGCAGAGGCGCACTACGAGCAGCTTCTGGCCGAGACCCCCCTGAAACTGGAGAGCACTGCCGCTTGGAGCAACCACGGCAAGGGCGCGCTCGACCTGTGCCAAGAGCTACTTCGCTTGGAGTCGCAAGGGCGACCCACAGCCGCAGCCGCCATGGAGAACCCCTGGCTGCAGAAGCATGCGAATTTTGCCGAACAAGGGTGCTGCGCGATCAACTAGACTCCATTGTCGAATAGCTTCTTGGTTATTCTTACACCGACGTCAGGGCGGGGTGCAGTACATAAGGGTGGATACGTACAGAAGATCACCCTGCTTTGGGTTGATTTTGTGCTTGGCGGCCCTGTCTATAGAGTGGCTCAATTTTGTGTGTGCCCCTCACGCATTCATGAACTTGGTGACGGTATGGCATAGGTACTTGAAACAGTGGTGTATCGCGGTAGCGCGGCTGTACCCTGGGAGGACATTTGCATGCTGAAGGGTCAAATACCCTATATAGCCTATAAAGCGACGGAACGCCGAAAAGCGCCGCCGCCTATAGTACCCACTGCAGAACGTCGGTATTTTGGTACTGACAGCTGGCGATGACGCATTGATTTCCCTGTCATGTGACGGGAGCAGCCATGGTCCCTGAATACGGTTCCTTACCTTCTTCAAAGGGTTCTGAAGTATGGGACCTGCGGTTTTGCAGGGTATGTAAGGGGTATATAAGGGTCTCCGATTAAGGGCCCGCATCGAGGGACCATGCAACTACCCAAAGAGTGTATGCACTTGGAGGTTTAGCAGAGAGAGAGAGAGAGAGAGAGAGAGAGAGAGAGAGAGAGAGAGAGAGAGAGAGAGAGCGAGTCAGAGAGTCAGTCCATGTGTTGGCGGAGACCGAGCTTGTGGGCCCAAAGACCAAGCTGACACCCCTAAACCCTCAACCCTAAACCCTAAACCCTAAACCCTCAAGGCCTGTTTAGGTTTTCGGGCTTAGGGCGGTTTAGGGTTCAGGCGGTTTATGGTTGTGTGTGGTTCACTTAGAACCTGCAGTCGCAAAAAAATCTCGAAGCCCGAAGCACACGAAATGTTCATTTTGCTTAAGCATTGCTAATTGCCAACATACCATCCTGAATCGAAACTAACGATTGCCTAAACAAGCCAGCACCGCACGAAGCACAGTCCCTACCTGCCGAGAAGCAAAAACAAGTGAACCCTAGACCTGTAACCATAAAGGATGTATGTCTTCATGTTTCCATGCACCACGGCTCACTCCAAACAAGTTCGTTTATTGTAGCCCCCCTCCCCCCCCCCATTCCCAAACCCGACTTGAACCATTTCGAGTTTCCCAAATCCGATTTGCCCCAAAAAAGGCCCGAAACCACCAAAGCGAATGCCTCCAACGGCTTCAAGAGGCACCAAAAGGTCCATCCCCTTAGAATCCTCAAAAGGCTCCCACAACGCCCCGAAGGACCTTGCAAAGATCTGAAGAAAAACTATTGTTCTCACAGGAAAAAATCGTTCATCGCCCCCCCCCCCCCCCCCCCCCCCCCCCCCCCCATGAACATGCCCAAAACCCTGAGCTTTAGCCTGAGGGGTTCAGACTTCAGGGTTTATGCAAAGTTCTGTCAACCTAGAGGCTCCCACAAAACCAACATAGCTTCATTCATACGAGGGATCTCTAATGTAGTTTAAGGTAGATTAAACCCTAAACCCCAAACATCTAAGCTTGTACTACAGAGCGGGCCTTTGGGCTTTTCCGCTGGGCATCTCTCCTGGAAGAACTTTCTGGGCCACGAGAGAGCTCTGGCACGGGAGCAGGAAGTCAGCGATATGGCGGCTTCTAGGGTCTCCTTAGTGTTGGTTCAGGGTGTTGGGAATTAGTATTGCTAACAGGGCAAGAATAATGGGGGGGTGCTTTCCAGCCTTTCCTGAGTTGCTGGCGCATGTCGCGCTGCAACTGCAGCTTAATTTCCTGTGACAACAATGGGAGATTTCCCCCCGGGATTAGAGGAACTGCAACAATTCGTGCGCCTATGGCTGTACGCGTTGTACGCAAGTACTCCCACAGATTCGCTAGAATGCGCCTGTGGTTTCGTTGGGAACCCCATGGCTCAGCGACTGCGCAAGTAGGCCTGTGGTTTCGCTGGGAGAACCCCATGGCTTAGCGAAGGCTTTCTCCATGGAAGTACAAGTCTGACCCTGTGCTTTTTGTAGGGTTTAGGGTTTAGGGTTGTAGGCTTTGGGGCTTGCATCCGCAATGAGAAACCCGCACAGCTCATAAGGTTTTCTGGTTGGGCTCAAGGGTTTGGCGTTCAAGCCTCTAGCAGGTCGCGCTGGAACAGCAAGGATCAACATGTCTCACCAGCTATCCATCTAAGTTGTTTTTCAGCACGTGCTGACAGACCGGCCGGAAATGGTGGTGTATGATGCTGCGGGTCCGGTGCTCGACTCTGAACCAGAGAGTCACGTTCTCAAGCCCTCAACCTAAACCCTAACCCTGAACTTTTTTGATAACCCCGAACAGGGTCGCAAATATCATGAATTATACGAATGGGTATTTTTGCATAGAATCGTGGGATGGCGTCTTTCCGACCTCGAAAGAGAGTATCGTATTATAGTCGCCAAGATTGAAAGAAATGAACAAAGGGTAGCATTATGATCATGTGCGGATCTCAGATATAATAGGAAAATCATGATGAAGAAAAATCGATACTAATATTTTGATAAAATATATCTCGAATCTTAGATAAGGAATTATATAACAAAATTAATATTATTGAATACATAACCCTAGATCTGAAATGAATTCATTTTATATTTTCTGGATTCTCGAGAATTATCGTTTCATATTTGATGGATATCACGACGACTATTTTACTTAACTATTATTTCAATGAGAAAATTGGAATATATTTTAAAAATATATAAAATTTATTTAAATTATCTTTCTATACATTATTCTTTGATTGATCTCGCTCAATATTATTAGATATATTCTTTAAATGAATATTAAATTCTATATTTATGACGAGGGGGAAAGGAATTTTGTTCATAATTATACACTTCTATGAATTTAATATATATTCAAATATTTATGATTTTCTAATTTTTTAAAAAATTTTATTTATCATTATTGATTTTTATTTTCTGAAATTTTCTGATTAATTATTTCTATTCATTACGATTTTGTCTTTATTTATTTCTATTTACTATTATTTCTATCATCATTTCTAAATTTTTACTGTTGATTAGGAAAGATTCTTT